TGCATTTGCCTCCTTTTCATTAGGTTGATCTACTCTTTGGGAAATAAGTGAACAAGAGGTATCTTTAAAGACTAAGAAAATACAATAATATTTATCTTACTTGTGTCAGCTGATTCCCATAAAATTATGCTTAATATAAACTAGCTCTTCTCTCATAAACAATTAATTTGAAAATATAGTACACAATAATTAATCTGGATGTCATAATAATTACTATGTCTATATCACATGCATGGTTTTTTCTGGAGATACAAATGAGACTATCGTTAACTTTAGAAACATTTGACCCTATGTTGCTCCTTAAAAAGGCCAAACGAAAATTATATTATGCACAGCAAAAATAATTTTCTTTTTTGAATATATATAAAAACTATTAAGTTCTCTTGACATATGAAAATATTCTAGTAAAGTGACATAAATGATTTAAGCATTACTTTAAAGTCACAACTTAAATATCTGATTATTTTTAGATAGTGGCATAAATGATTTAGCATATAACCCATAAAATTAGTTATTACGCGTGCTTTTACTGCTTCATCCTTGGTGCCTTTGGGTGTTCATCTAGTAACCTATCATCCTAGCTAATCGATGGTACCTCTCACATTAAACAGTGTAAAAACAAAAGTTCATTTAGCAAAACATAATTGCTAAACGTAGGGTTGGAGCTATATATGAGGTTGAATTGAATTTCCTCCGTCAGAAAATTATGTACTGTTAGAACAAAAATAAATATCTTTGCATATACATAATTTGCTGAACTTTCTTAATTAACATATCAGAATATTTTAGTGTAGTAGCAAAAATAGTTAAAATTGCTCGTGTCACAGGTTCACATTAGGTGTAGTAGTTCCTAGTTATATATGCCACTGGCTAATGTAAGTGAATTTAATACATTCCTCAGGTGCATCTACCAAGAAGAAGATAGCCAACGTTACAAGGGACTAAGGATCAGCAAAGATTTAGTAGAAGTTGGAGGAGATGCTCTGAAAACCAACATTACCACATTAGGCCCTTTGGTTCTACCTTTATCAGAACAACTCTTCTTCTTTGGAAACCTAGTCTGGAGACACTTATTTGGCAATAAAAATAATAATAATAATAATAATAATGCCAAAGGCAATTCCACTTCCCAACTGGCCAATAAGCCCTATATTCCAGACTACAAACTCGCCTTCGAGCACTTTTGTTTTTATGCAGCCAGCAAAACTGTCCTTGATGAGCTTCAAAGGAACTTAGAGCTGAGTGAGAATAATATGGAAGCTTCTCGGGCCACACTGCACCGATTTGGTAATACTGAATTGTGCGACTATATCTTATCTAAAAGCTTAAACGACTGTTATAAAAAAGAACGTTTCTAATTACCTAATTATATTATGTCTTCGACAGGTAACACGTCTAGTAGCAGCATTTGGTATGAGTTGGCTTATTTGGAGGCTAAGGAGAAAATTACGAGAGGTGATCGTGTGTGGCAAATTGCTTTTGGTTCAGGTTTTAAGTGTAACAGTGCTGTTTGGAAAGCCATTCGCCGTGTTAAAAAGCCTTCAACAAATCCTTGGATTGATTGCGTTGATATGTACCCTCAGTCTCTCACACAATAAGTGTGGATTTTCATGAAAGATTTGGAGTAACAAGATGGAGATCTTGAATGAATGACTATATAAATGTATAGTCAAGAATATATTGGTTACGTTATTATAATTAAGTTGATTTTGTGGAAAGGATTAACAAACATATATATAGGTTCTTTCCAATATAAATTTTGGCCTTGGCCTTTAGATATGATGTTCACCTTAATCTTCAAGAATTGATCTTTACATCATTATATATAAGTAATGGTCATGCAAATATAGAGAGCATATCTTTGTTATTGTCGACAATTTGTGTAATAAATGTATTATGACATTATACATTGCTGATCGATAAACAAATATTTTATGTATTATTCTTGTTTGTATTTCTTTGTTTATCTCTTTTCTTTCTTCTCATTTTGTATTTGTTGAGACATAAGTAAGAAAAGGTGTGAGCTTTATTTTGTCATATGGGTGTAAATAGACCAATCTCCATATATATATATATNAACGGTCCAAATTATCAGCCGCAATCCAGCTACATATGCAATAAAATAACAAATTACATCTTTGATTACCTATACTCAACAAAGTTTTCCACATACAGCTAGCTAGCACCACATGCATAGCTTGATTATTCCCCCTTTTTCCTTCTAATTTCCCGAAGTATAAGTTCAATTGTTGTTTCAAAACTCACAATCAGTACTACAACTCTTAATTTGAAACAAAAGAAAAAGGAGGAAAACCCAGAAATAGCCAATCAGAATCTCATCATTATTTTTTCTTTTTTTACATTTCTTCAATCTTTGGCCAAAAAAATATTAAAAAATTATTCTACCAAATTTCGCCCTTTTTAGAAGTGCATGGAAATTAAAAAAAAGCTTGAAACTGAAAAGGCAAATATACTAGCACTACGCAATACTGCAATAGCAGGTAGTATTTTGCCGATAAAAAGTTTATATATAAAATCTCCTTAAGCTCAACAGCTTATATTTAATTATTCACAATCTGTGGAACATGTGATAAAGAAGACAAAATGGCCTGGAAATTTGTGTAATAGTGCTCTTAGAGATGTTGAAGATTCGGTCTTTATTAGGAGTACTATACAACAACAACAACAACCCAGTATAATCCCACTTAGTGGGATCTGAGGAGGGTAGTGTGTACGGAGACCTTACCCCTACCCTGAAGTAGAGATGCTGTTTCCAAATAGACCCCCGGCATCCTTCCCTCCAAAAACTTCTCACCTTGCTCTTGGGGAGACTCGAACTCACAACCTCTTGATTGGAAGTGAAGGTTGCTTACCATCAGAGCAACCCCACTTGTCTAGGAGTACTATAGTTTAGAGGAAATTCAAGAATCTACTATTGGTTGTTCATGATGTTGTTCTTTTACCATCATTTGAGATTGAAGCTGCAAGAAAGCTTAAGAATTGCCCTAGAAAATGTAGTTTATGCATTAATAATATTCTCAAGCTAAATTTCACCCTTCCAACGTTTATATACTTTGTTAGTCACGTAATTACATGCAACGATATTTTTTGTTAGTTACTCCCTCCGGTTCAAAATATGTGATTTTTTGGTTGTTTTCACACATATTAAGAAATTCACCTTTTAACATTAATTACCAATGAAATTGACCATATTAACCTTTACTATCTCTTCACATAAATACTCCAACATTAATTACTCCAAGGGCAATGTAGGAAATTCATTCTTGAAATATGGAAAAATCATTTATTTTGGACCACAAAAAATCACTTATTTTGGACCGGAGGGAGTATATATTAAAGCTTTTATTTGGAAAAAAAAATCTAGAAAGACGCACATTACGTTGAGTCACGGTGGCTAGCGTCACCTGTGGGTTCATGTGTATATAATAGACGTTGGTTCAATTTTTACTATCCCCTTTCCCTTCTTCTCGAATCCCCAATATAACCAAACATTTGGAAAAAATAAAAATTAAAACAGGCAATTAATTCAAACACCCTTGAAGATAATCTCATTAGTGTGCAAGAGGTCTATTGCACAACGTGAGAGAATTTTTTGAACTTCTTGGTACAACGTTTTCCTTGTATGGAATAATTTAAAAATTAAAAAGCAACTTGCCCCATCTCCAAATGTTTTAAATTGGTAATAGTGAAATGCATATTCCTAAGATTAACCTCAGTAACCAATTAAATTGATGTAGAAACATTTATTTGTGATTCAAGGATAAAAGAAGTTCAGAAAAAGTGGTGACCCTTTTCTTATGAAACTTGGAAGCTTTCTCTTCAATAATTTTGCCCCAGAAATTCTAAAATATTCTTGTGAAGATATATCACAACCAAATAGGGTACAAAATTTTTCTAGCTATAAAATCTACAATGATGAGAACCATTAAATATCAGATCTCTCATAATTGATGGAAAAGGAAAACTGGGAGACAACGTATACTAATTTCTCCCTCATCTATTATTTTTCTCTAGAGACTGCGATTTGTAGCAAACGCCTTTATTACTAATTAAAAAAACAAAGAAAAGGAAAACTTTAAAATCCTCCTTTCCCAAAGGAAAAAGGAAAAAAGCAGCAATTTGGGGCTTCAATGTAAAAGCCAAAGATTTGATTATGACAAAAACCAATCAATCTTCTTCTTTTAAGCTAACCACTCTGCATCCATTCCTTCAATTTCTTCAATGTCCATACTGTAACACAATAATTTAAAATAAGAATATATATTGAGAGGGTAGTAGTTTAGTGACATAATGAAAAACGAATATTCAGTAGATAAATTATAATATACTTGAAAAAGAAAAAGAACAGTTAACATAAAGGTCAAAGATTTGATGATGATGATGATGATATAAGTAAACAATAAATAAATAAAAACAACATCAACTTCCTTCTTTTAGTTGGAGTATTAAATAAAAATGCAATTTGGCTGCATGATTACTAACCGAAAATTCACAAGAGATAATTACAAATTCAATATTTTCCCACTGACACAACCAAACCAAAAAAGAAAAAGCAAAAAGAAACCAAAAATAAAGGTGGGACCAATGGGTTGTCACTTTCATTTCTTCCACCGCTTGACGTGTCAATACTAGCAAAGACCCATGCTTCTGTGTACTAATACTAACAAAACATGATGTTACTGGTGTTGCTTAACCACGCATCAGTTTTTGACAGGATATTTATTATCTTTTCAAGCCAATTAGAACAACTTGTTTATAAATCTACTGATTATTGTTCTGAGCAAAAAGATTTAAGTATTATGGGATAAATCTGGAGGCTTTGGGTTAAAATTTAACAAAATCTGATGTAAGAAAATGACTGGGCAACTCCAAAAATACTTGTAAGCTTCTGCTCTATGTGCAGAACATTAGCTGTATGCCTGTACCCCAATAATTAAAGGGCAGATCCAATGCACGAAGTATCATGTATTCGTGTAGAATCCGGGAAGGGTCGCACCCCGAAAGATATATTATATGTAATTTACCTTGATGTTTGCATCAGTGGCTAATTTCACGGCTCAAACTCATGACATATAGGTCATACAGAGTATAATTAAGCACAATAATTACTCACTCCGTTTTAAAAAAATTGGCACAATTCGGTAAGGGTCAAAGTGCTTCACTTTGACTGTGAATTTGGACATAAATTCTTCAAATTTTTAAAAATAAATTTATATTTTTGCAAAACCATATAAAAAGTATTATAAGTCATAATAATTCATAATTCAAAATATTTATAAAATATTTAAGAAATACAGGGTCAAAGAATAACCTCGTAGACTTCTCAAATAGTAATGGTGCCAAACTAATTTACTCGCTTCCGATGTTTGCTTCAAACTAATGTACTTTAGTATGATTAAGCAATATTTGAGGTGAAAATACATATTAACACATTGTAATTAGGTTATTAAAGAGTGTGCGGAAGATGCATGTTAAGATATTATTGGTGATGTAAACACCTAATACAAATAATATTTTTTTTTACTCAATATTACTTTGTATTTCGGCGGAAGGTTGTTTCCACGCAAAAGATGGTAAAAAGATGAATAAAAAATAAACAAAGAGCATTCCGAGGTTGTACAGTAACAGGACCTAGGAACAAAAAACATTTCCTATGATTTAATTTTACTCGGTAAAAAGAGATAATAATATTAAAACAAAAAGATCAATGAAAAGAGTAAGAAATTATTACCATGGTAAGGTAGGATCAGAATAGGTTTCATCAACCTGTTGTTGCAAGCAGCTTTCATTTGGATTCAACCAGGCTGGGAATTCCATAACTTCATCAAATGGATAACACCCATAATCCTCACCAACATTACTCTCATGATCAGGGTCAATTTCCATGGTTTTCAAGAACTTGTACCACCAAGCTGAAGTTGCCAAATTGAGTGTGTCATTCCACTCCATCTCATGTTGCTCCCCTATTGATCTGATCTCTGCCATTTCTTGGTCATCCATTGATGGATGCAACCCTGAATCTTCACAATTCACCATTTGAGATATAGTAGGAGCCCCTTCTTGAGATAATCCCATATAATGAAATTCATCTGAAGAAGATGAAGGGGATGATGATGAGTAGATTGAGGTGTTGTTATTGCTGCTACAATAAGGGGTTGCATCTAAATTATTAAAGTCATGGAAATTGAGATTCAAGCCTAATGTTTGGTTAGGAAGTGGAAAATTGAGGTGGTCTTGTAAAGGTAATTGGGAACCAAAGGATGAAACATGGCAAGAATAAGGATATTGTGGAAGGCAGTTAGGGAAGGTTGAATTGGAGAAATTCTCCATATTGTAACTTGGTAAGTTATTGTTTATAGTGTTGGAAGCATAAATCCTCGGATTTCTCCGGGATTTTAGCTTCCCTTGTTCTTCTCCTGAAGATTCTTGAGGCCAAGACTGTAATGACTGTGGCCCCGTCTGAGATTGTTGTTGTTGTTGTTGTTTCATAGCGGCTCTATGAAACTTAAGGGCAGTGACAATCTCTCGCCGAGCCTCGGCCATATTTAGAAGCCTTTCTTGATAAGGCCTACTAGTGTGGAGTCTCCTCCTCACTTGTTTCTTTTTAAGCTGCGGTGGTTGTGGTGGTGGTGGTGGCTGTGACGATAGTTGATGTGTATCGCTAAACAAACTATCATCATTTTTTGTTGAATTGTCTAGTGAATCATCATTGTCTTTGGGATTTAAAGGATCTTTGGTACGTGAAGAAGTTAATTGTTTGACTAGGTTTCTAATATAGGCACCAGAGAGATGAGGCTCTTGTTTTAGTTTATCAACCTTTTCTACTTCCATTATTCCTGCTGAGTTTCCTTTCTTTGGTGAAGATCTTCCCCTCATGTTTTACTCAATGGATTTGGGACAGGATTTTTGTTCTTTTTTAGAAGGAATGGAGAGGTCAAAATGGCAAGAAGGGTCGGTCTAAAGAAACATGTCATTCACTTTCTGAGAACCAAAGTACACTATGCAGAGGAGAGGCAGAGGTTAGGAGGGTCTCTTGGGTTCTTATAAATAGCTGGAGACAGTTTAGGGTTTTTAAATTCTTTTGGAATTTTCTCAGTTTTGCAAATACATACCTATTTTCCCCCCATTTTTCTATTAACTTTTGTTACTTGTCTTAGATGGGTAGTTAGGAAGAGTAACGTAACAGATTTTACTCTACAAAAAGACAGTTACAAGTGTAAGCACTTCTCTCCTTTTTAAATATAATAATCAAGTTAGAGAGGTATGAGACATAATGTTCAATCATAATTGGAGGATCAACTATAACAACATCAAGCATATAAAAAGACTGACCTATAAATAAGTTAATTTGAGCTTTGAGCAAATAGATATGAGTCGAGCTAATCTCATGAACTTGCTATAGTAAATAGCCGAGTCAGGGATTTATGCAAGGAAATTTATTAAAGTGTTAGAAAGTTACATTTAAAATTCGAACCTATGATCAAAAGCAACTTTTGATCCTCTTTGCACATCAGGAAAATCTCTTATGTCAAAGGGGGTCAATAGATTATATATAATAAAAAATTTGTTACACAGTATAATCTTTCAACGAAGGGGATTCAATTGAGCTCTCGTGCCTCTACATAACTCCATCATTGGTCTTAGTAACAAGCAAAATTGAGTCCAAGCGGAACCAAACAAAGCTTTGGCAGTACTAAAACAAGTCCAATCGAGCTTGTGTAGATGATAGAACCAAGTTGAGACCGAGCCAATTCTTTAATGTTTATTTCATATATGCAACTAGGCCTTTAAAATAAACAAATGCACGATGAATTGAATGATTAAGAAAAAGTATAAAGATACTTTAAATTGATAATTAAATGCAACTGTGATTGAATTATGTGAATTATTAGTTTAAGTTAGAATCTAGAATCTATATTGTGAACCCATCGGTCCTTTTTTCTTTTTTGGATAACTCAGTCTCATTCCATAACTAACATACAAAAAGATTCTTAAACTTATTTATGAATGCCGCTTCGACATCACCTGGTAGAAATTAATCCTTAAACTAAATGGTGTTAAAAGTTATATACAAATTGACTGAATGGCTCAACCACATCTATTCAAGTAGTCCTAGTCAAGTTTGAACACCTTGGTTCTAAAGCTTAATAGTCCAAAAAGAGAGGTCAAACTAGAAAACAAAACATTTCATTCAAATTAAACAATTTGACTGTCCGTTATACAAGGCAGATCAAGATTAGAGAAAATCCAAAGTGTGAAATAATGGACTTTCACAAGATTCATGGACATTGATGACTTCGGTGCTGTAACTAAGTCTATGGCATATGTTCATGTGATCTTTTTGGTTAGGTTAGGCAGTCCCATTATATATGGAGTCTTCAAACAATAAAACAACTAAAGAAATTCAAAACATTGGAAGAAAAATAGAAAAGGTAGTCCACTGGCCTGCATAATTAAGGCCTGCAAGGAAGACCTTCAATGCTCAAGAACGGCAATTCACAGCTGGTTTTATCACATATCTTATTACTTAACGACCGTCCACGAGATGTCACTAATATAAGATCGAGGAAAACAGAGTGGACCTACAAATATAGATGTACTAAACCCCAATTATGTGGCTAATTAAGTCATTCGGTTTCATGCACAGAAGGGCAAGGATAACTTCATAACATGGCCCTGACCCTTCTCAGGTCATCAATTTCAGAGATCAACCGCTACTGTTGTCATCAGATATATATAACCAGAAAAATTATCCTAGAAAGTATTGTAAGCATCAATGACTTTACTTTTGCTATTTTGGTGCGATACATAAAGATAGTACACATACAACAACCCAGTATAATCCCATTAGTGGGGTCTGGGGAGGGTAGTGTGTACGCAGACCTTACCCCTACCCTGGAGTAGAGAGGCTGTTTCCAAATAGACCCTCGGCATCTTTTCCTCCAAGAACTTACTAACTTGCTCTTGAGGTGACTCACAACCTCTTGGTTGAAAGTGGGAGTTGCTTACCATCAGAGCAACCTCTCTTATCAATAGTGGAGGAAAAGATGAAAAGTTGAAAGTTGAAAAATAGTACACATAGAATCAAAAATAAAATAGTTGAAAAGTTGAGATAGAAAAGTGTTGTCAAGGTATTATGTATAGAAGGATACTTGAAAATGTTATATGAGAGTGAATGTTGAGATGTTAAAGTTCATTATATCCACAAGATGTTTGTCGCAAATTTGTGGATATTAAGATGTATTAGCAATTGTACAAGATTAAAATAATCACATTTGGCAAAAGTTGCAAGTAGCATACAATAAGGATAAAGTGTGAAGAGTTCACTTGAGATGGTTTAAACATGTCCTACGTTACCCTGCACACACATTGATCCATAGATGTGAAAGTGTTAAAACAGAGACGAGGTAGACCTACAATGAAATGGAAAAAGGTTGTCTGGAAAGTCCTACAATCATCTCGAATCTATGCACACAAACAACAACAAATTTAGTATAATCCCACATATAGGGTATGGAGAGGATAGTGTGTACGCAGACCTTACCCCTATCTTGAAGGTAGAAAGGTAATTTCCGATAGACGCTCAGATCAAAAAAAGATGAAAAGAAAGCAGTAACATCAAACAGTAAATCAATAAGATAATAAGAAAACAAGGCGAAAAGAATAGCATGTAGTAACCCTTAATTCTCTTCCTCCACGCCTTCCTATCAAGAGTTGTGTCATCGGTAAGCTGAAGCAATGTCATATCCTACCTAATCACCTCTCCCTAATACTTATTAGGCTTGCCTCTACCTCTCTTTAGACCCACCAATGCCAACATCTCACACCTCCTTATTGGGGCATCTGCGCTTCTCCTTTTTACATGCTCAAACTATCTAAATCTCGCTTCCCGCATCTTATCCTCCACCGAAATCACTCTTAGCCTGACCCAAATATTTTCATTCCTAATCTTATCAATTCTGATATGCCCGTACATCTATCTCAACATCCTCAATTCTGCTACTTTCATCGTCTGGACATAAGAGTTCTTGATTGGCTAACGCTCTGTCACATACAGCTTAGTCGGTCTAAGAACCATTCTACAAAACTTGTCTTTAAGTTTAGGTGGCACATTCCTATTTCATATAACACCGGATGCAAGCCTCCATTTCACCCACCCTGTTGTAGTTAACATGTGACATCCTCGTCAACCTCCCTATTTCCTTGAAACAAAATGATCTATATAGGTGAAACCAATTAGTTGATAATATATTTTAGTAATGTTAGTATATTTACTTTAGATCTTATTTTTTCTATGAGTGTTTTAGTCGTGTATGAAATTTACTTTAGATCTTATTTTTTCTAAGTTGTTCTTGTTGAAGACTTTGCTATTCGTTCTGCCTTTCAATTGATTGAACAAGAGGGCATTTTAGGCAAAAAACTTCTGATGGTTTTCAAGCAATTTGTCTGCAGGCTAGTAAGTTGGTACCATAGGACCAGGATCAAAAATGTCAGCAAAAGGCTACAGAAACTGACAGGAGAATCTCCATACTCTTGTAACCTCATTACTTTTGCATAAACAATTGTATGTAAGCATAATGAAATGCAAATAATATTTGTGTAATAAAATCCAATAATTTATGTTCAAATTGTTGACATGACTAGTGTCTGTTCTTAAAACAGAGAACTTGGACCTTTAGGAAAGGCAATTCACACACAGCCTGTTAAAGACAGAAATGCTCCATACCTCTCCCTTCCTTTTCTTTCTGTTTTCTTTCCTATATTACTGCTTTTTCTCCCAAACAGTTCCTATTTAATTTCTAATGCCTACTTGGACCTGCCAATGGCATGGCTTCTGAGTCTTTTAGAAGATTTGAGTAACAGCAATAACAGTAAAACGGGATTAGCTTATAACCAACCGTAGATTGATTATATGATTAATTACAGAAACAGAGTGGTCTTAAGTAAAGAAGAGTTAGATTGACAACCTTTTTTTTTTTTTTAATTCGGGGTATCAAAATGCATTTAGATTGACAACCTTGGAAACTAAGATTTAAATTAGGGCAGAAGCAACAGTAGGTGAATCCAAACCGTCTATAAAGTTACTTGATACTTGTATAAGTAGGGGAGTCTTGGCGTAACTAGTAAAGTTGTTGTCATGTGACAAGGAGGTCATGTTTTCCAGCCGTGAAAACAGCCTCTTGCAGAAATGCAGGATAAGGCTGCGTACAATAGACCCTTGTCCGGCCCTTCCCTGAAAGTGGCGGATTCCACGGCTTGAATCCGTGACCTAAAGTTTCTCTAAGCTCCCTTTGTCATAAAAAAAAAAAAAATTATATCAACTAATGTCTATCTAGTTTAAAACCTCACTGCACAAAGTAATTTCAGTCAACTATAAGCTTTAAATTAATCAAAAGTTAAAAGGGTCAATTAATAATAAGTTCAATCAACTATTTGGAGTTGCACCCGACACCTACTGTGTTTTCACGAGTATGACACTGTAGTGTACGTAGGAAGCAAATGCAGTAATCTTTCCCAAAAACATAGGATTTCTTTTTAAAAATATGAAATCAATAGGGAACTCTATTATATACAATATTGGGACAAGTAAATTATGAGGTTTCACCAAAGTCTGAGCTTTAATTCATCATTTAATTCCACTGTATGCTGAAGACTGTTCAATCCAAAAAAGGAATTTACCTCTAAAACAGCTGGTAAAAGGTTCAAATATTTCCATTTTGCTATTTTTGTGTGTGATGTTTTTTTCTGTTTTATGATCCAAACAAGTAATGGATAACTGTGAAAGCTGTGTTATTGCTCAACCATCATTCACATGGAAATGTCCTATCATCAACAGGAGGCAACAAAAAAGGCTCTTAAAGGTATCCAACCTTTCACATAACTATGCAGGTTAAAGATGTCAGGCAATCAATTTTGGCAAATGGCAATAATATTCCATAAATATCAGTAACAGAAAAAGGCTAAGCTTTCTCGCAAATGTAAGGGTCTGTTTGGAAAGCCACCCGGTAAATGGAATTAATGTAATTACTAGGGTAGTAATTACGCAGCCTAGTAATTACACAGTCTAGTAATTACGATTACCTGATTGTTTGTCACAACATAATTACAGTGTAATTATAAGCATGTTGTTTGGTTGGACAAGTGTAATTACACAGTTAGATTAAATTTTAAATGAATTATCAAAACTTAAAAGTTAAAAATAATAAATATATGCCTATAAATAATTTTTTATAAGTATAAATGATATTAGATTTGATATTTAAGATGCATATTTTTTCTTGAATGTACACTAATTAGTAATCATATATTCATAACTAATATTGTAAAATAATTTATATATATATATATTTCAAATTAATAATATTTTGTTTAGTTAATTATTAAAACTAAAAATATACATTTTGTAAGAACATCGTGAAATGTATGTTTGATAAAATAAAAATGTTTGACATAACTAATCTATCAATTCTAACTAAACAACGAACAACATGCAATGTGAAATAACAAGTCAATACTATCAAAACAAGTAAATTGGAACCATAAATATAGCACAATTTCAAACCACCCCNTTAAGATTAAGAAATATAATAAGTTTATAACCTCATTCAACAACGAAATTTTCACTCATTACATGCCAAATTTGTTAATGACTCATTATTTCTAATATTAGGAAGTGTACTTTCAAAAACTAGATTAATAAACGCAGTTATGCTAAATGAAGAAAATAAAACAAATAAGAAATAAAATATACGAGCAACTACATGAAATCGCAAGAAGTAAAGGTAGAGAAATAAAAGATAAATAATGTACAAAAAAAAAATATTTTAAAATTTTAAAAAAAAAAAGTAAAAATAAAATAATGAAAATAAAAAGTTATAAAGAAAATTAATTAAAATAAAAACAAAATGGAAAGAAATTAAAAAGTAACCTTCTAATTACACAATGTAATTACCACCAATTCTCACCCACCTCCCCCTTGAGAATTGGAGAGTATAATTACACTTTTCCAATTACACCCAATTACATGCTGACCAAGTAATTACCTGGCCAGACAAACATTCCATACTGTGTAATTACACTCAAATCCAATTCTTAGGTGGCTTTCCAAACAAGCTCTAAATATTGGAATAGCAAGAGTTTTGTTTAAGATGACCATACTCTTGTTAATCTTTAAAAATATTACTCCCTCTTGCCAATTTAAAATGCCAGACACCAATAAATTTCTATAAAACTTATAAAATTTTGAAGCCCTTAAACTCATTAAACTATACAAATTTTAAATTTTGATGTAATGTTTGTCTAACTTTTAAGCCATCACTTAAGTATTTTCTTCCATCACTAGAACAATATGTTTGCATCAGCTACTAATGCTTGCATCAGATTAGGCTTATATCAGGTAGATTGTCTACATTACGGCCTCTTGGGGTGCAGCCCTTCCTCGGACTCTACTACTCGGGATGTTTCGTGCACCGACATCCCTTAGTCACAAGAACAATATGGATGTCATTACCACTTTAAAGTCAATATCTAATCAAATACGTTCGTATAAAATAAAAAGGTATAGAGTATTTACCGTGCCATTTCAAAAAGAAAAAAAACAAGTATATGAGTGCTATCTTCTTATTGGAGACCAGATAGTGCAATTAAATTGGCCCAAAGGTAAATACACTGTTATCTGCTGTGTTAACTTAAATAAAATCAGCGAGAGCTAACGCAATCACTCGATATACATAATTCAACTATTTCACTGGGTGAGATGTAAGAATTTTGACACTAGACATGTAGGCAGACACCTATTCCACCGGAATCTCTCGCCAATACAAATACATAGTTCTACTGAGACTTACACATGTAGCAAGAAATCATCTTAATATTTTTGGTCTCACTAAATGTGGACTCGTAAGCTTACATGATTTTCACCCGCTTTATTCAGCTAAGCCACACAGATGCGGTAAACAATTCCAATTAGTTTTGTATTATCGAAGAACTTTGGAAAGCTACTGTTTTTGTTATGGAAAAAGAACATAAAAGGCACCTTAAGTTTTATATAATTGTTGGTCTCTGTCCACACTTCTACTAGGAAAAGTCAATGAACATAAAAAATGTGAGACTTTGTCACGCCTCAAGTGAATAACTTAAATATCGTAGCTTCGTGTCCCAAGATTACAAGAAACCCAAAAAATAATTAATCAATTACCAAAGCAAACGATTGAACTCGTTTGCAACCCATAAAAAAAATTAAAATGAGCATCTCATATTACAATAGCAACAACAATAAAAACAAACCCAGTGATTTCCCACAAGTAAGGTATATAGGGAGGATAATATATACGCAGTTTTATCTCACCCTGAAAAAGCAGAGAAACTGTTTACAATATCAATACTTTAATTTCATCCCAAATTTCTACACATCAAGTGAGGTGCTCAACGACTAAACCCATTTTTAGGTCCCAATAAAAAAGAAGGATCATTTCTTACCATAATATCAATCCTTCATTGTCCCCAAAACATATAGGAAGTAGAATTTCCAATGAAAACAATAGAACTCATTGGAAGACAAATTAAATATATAATTTCCACTCAAGAAAAAAACAAAAATAATATGCATTTATTGTCAAAACACGAATCCCATACCTTACCCACAGATTTCTACACAATGCGACATTGTATGTTGTATGAATATAATTTAAAGATTGACATAATTTTAAGTAAATTGGGAACGGCTATATAAAATTTTTAAATTATATTGCTCATTTAAACTCATCTCAAATTACTATTATCCAAATAAAAAGTATTAAAAATTTATATTTTGCTGGCATATAAATTTCTAACAAGACTAATTATAAACGAAAAAATATGACTAAAACACATTCCTAACTAATTGGTAGCACTTATATATATATATATATATATATATATTGTACCACACTAATTTCATAGGTCAATATAGATTTCAAGAGTTTGTAAGTCTTCCGATGTAATTTTCTTTCATGTAATTTAGGTCTATCTCGTTCAATATTAACAATTTCATTCTCCATGGTTTCACACTTATAAATTAGTGCATCTAGAGTTCGACGTAAGACATGACAAAACCATCTGAAGCGACATTCTCTTAATTTTATCCTTCACGTTTTTCAATTATCAAAAAAAATTCATCCTCAATTTTTATTTTTATTTTGATTACCGTGGTGTTCGGGCCAGCTTGTGCGCACCTCAACTAAACAACCTTCTACCAGCAACACCTACCACGTAACTCTATCCACCAAAATTTGGATAGAGGAAAAGAAATCACCTAGTATTTTTGTCTCCGCTAGAATTTTGAACCAAAGATGGTTTTCAATCCATTTTAATTGCTACTAGACCACACCCCTGGGTGCAAGTCTCAATATTTTTTACTTACACTTTTGCCTAATTTGATCATTTTAATCTTCTCTAATTTTGTATGACATCAAATCATCCAGAACTCAGAAATATTCATCTTGTCAAAGTTGGACTTTAGCTCAACATTCACTCTCACATAATTACATTATTGATCTCCTAATTGTTTTATAAAACGAAGGTGTCATTCTATCACATAGCACCTCAATAGCACTTTTCCATTTCAACCGATCATATTTTGATTCTGTCATTACATTTTCATCTATCATATCATTCCTCTAATATATCAAGCCTAAATATCTCTTAGGCACCATAGTTCCACCGATCTCATATTAATTTCACTCGTTTTGTGCTGACCAAACTTGCAGTGATATGAAAACATAGATACATATCTAGAAACTAATCTATAAGATTCCACACCGACCAGAGTAAGTGATGAAAATGACATTTATCAAACAGAATCCAGCCTAGTTTTACAGGCAAAATTCAAACATAGAGCTAGCCACTATCAGCCTTTATTTCTACCAAAATATATAATACTATTTGTTGGAAACATCGGTTATGCTGTGTCAACAATTTAACACACTCGGTACTTGAAGAAAATAAGAAATTCACATTTAATCAATTGTTAATTTTACCCCTTTACAAAGTGTTGTAGACATACGCCTGATTGGTCATAGATTATTAGCGGCGCTGTGAGAACAAATACAAACATTTAAAACTCATAATTAAGTAATACTTTTGGGACTGCAGACACAGAGATAAACTCTAGGAATTTGCATCTAGAAACACATATGTAGAAATCCCCATATTAAAATATAGAGATAGACAACAGCAGCAATAATTATAATAATAAATAAATTAAAATAAAGGTAAGAAAGAGAATAGAGACCTGACTGCTGGGAAGTTGGGTGGAATTGTGGATAACATCAAAGGGGGAAAGAGAGAAAAGATGGAATTGGCCTCCTTTTCTCTTTCTCGATCTGATCTGATCTGATGAGGAGACCTGCTTCAGCCAATCATCTTCTTCCTCAGAAATTTGCCTCACTCATCAGAGGGTTTTAACCAATGGGATTCTTCCACTAAATACATAAACAAAACCAACCTCTCCATCCGTTTTCTTTGGATTCCATTCACACCTTTGGCTAACAATGTCTTACGCTATTTTTCTCCCTCTTATCTTCTTATCCGCTTAATCAAAGCTTAGCAGCAGAGGCACCGAGTAAGTGGATGGAAAACTCAGAATTTATTATTGACTGATTTTTCTTTACTTGCTTATGGCTTGCCAGCTCTTTTACTCTTTTCCCTTGTTTTTATTATAAGGTGAAAAGTGTACGGACGCTTTAACGACACATAAATCCACACGCACAATTTACTCTATGTTTTTTTAAAATAATAAATATATATACTAAAAAATACTGTCTATCATCACTTGGACAGGTAAAAAAATATCCATCCTCTATTTTATATGAGTTACTCTTTTAGTTTGTTTCAAAATTTCTCATTTTATCTTTTATTATATACTTAGACCACTAACGCCTTATTTGCTTGTACTTGATGCACGTGTAAATTTTAATTGTTCAAATCTCAGTTATTAAGTATTTTTTTTAGATTTCAATCTTAACTATTTTGATCTTTAATCATCAAGTCTGTTTGATTTTTCAATTTTACAACCACTTGATGGGTAGGAATAAATCATAATAATTAAGATCTATAACAGAGTCTTAATATCATTAAAATATTTTATATATATATATATATATATAAGAATTTATGCAAAAATAATATTTTACTATTACTCTAACACTTTCACC